TTACGTGTCATCTTTCCTGTTAACATATTTATCTGTTGGTACATGGAATGTGAGTCTTTCCTGTGATTTTCCCCAATCTCTATACACATTTGATTTAACCAGGCTTCTTTAGCCACTTTGAATTTTTTCACTATTTCTTTCTGTGTTCTAGAGTATTCTTCTTTATCATTCTTGTTCTTCCTTCTTTCATCCATCAACTGCAGAATTTCGAATTTCGGTTGACATCAAATTCTTGTTTGCAACTCTATGGGTTGGTGGGATTGTCTCTTTTGATGTCTGTTAAATTGACTAACGCAATATATCCCACTATTGTATCACTTTATATGAAGGCATTAAAAAGGAAAAAAAATAATGTCAGAAGTGGGATTTGAACCCACGCCCACAAGAGTGGACTGCGACCTGAACGCAGCGCCTTAGACCGCTCGGCCATCCTGACTTGATGGAGTAAGGTTAGCTTAAATTATAATATTATCAAACAAGCCACGTTTCCTATTCTTATGTAATATTCTGCCTGTATTAGATTTCATTAAGATATTTATTATTTATGTGTGGAGTTTGTCTCGCTCCCCCCAACTGTTAGGTCTGTTGCAATGGATCCGTTTTTGTACAACCTGCAACGATTCCGATATACACTATCAACTACTCCAACTAAAATTCTGGACGCAAATGTTTCACGAAACGAAGCAAAACAATAAACATCAACAACGGGACCACACCCCTGTCAAGTAAACATTAATTATCACAGTTTAGCTGGATACATTTAAATTAATCTAAGCTTGTGAAACAAAATACTTTCACAAGTTAGAATTATTTAAGCTAAGTATTTCATTATTTTAAGTGCTTTAGTTTAGCATTTTAGTTTGACGCAAATAGTTTAATGTTAATATAAATAATAATAAATAATAATAAATGGATACTCCATATTCATATTATGATTATTATACAATATGAACGATCCATTAGACGTATTCTCTCATAGTTCCAAAGTCCAAGTCATCAACACAAAACGTTAACTGCCACAAGTTTAAAAAAAAAAATTAATGAAATTGAATAATTTGTTGGTACTTGCGTATTAAAAAAAAAAAAAAGTCATGTTTTATAAAGTTGATGAAGCGGCAGGCAGTCAGGATGGCCGAGCGGTCTAAGGCGCTGCGTTCAGGTCGCAGTCCACTCTTGTGGGCGTGGGTTCAAATCCCACTTCTGACAATAATTTTTTTTCTTAAACGATTGTTTAATTTGTTCAGATTAGGGGTAGTTGATCGGGTGTCTTAACCTCTCAGATAGGGTCAAGAATAAATTTAGGACTGCTGAAAGAAGATCCATAATTTTATAGCAGCATTGTCACCTTCATTGTTTGCTGCTTTGTAATGTAGAGGTGCCGGGTTTGATTCCAGCTGCAAGCCATTTGGCAGTAGACCACCTTATGTTGGTTTCAGCAGTGGTATCAAGAGCTGGCCATTCAGTAAGCCGTGGCAAACTATTGAACATAAATTTGCCTTGAAAAACCACAACAACCAGTGCTGTGTTTGGTTCTGCGTCTTGTAAAGGACACACAACTAACTTCTCCCCCTCATTAATCTGTTGTTCTACATTAGTGTCACATTCTGTTGCCTCCTATCATGTGCAGTCCTTTCATTATGGGTGGTTCAGTCTAGAACCTCTGGCCTCTCACATCAGCGTCCAGGGTTTCTCTTCAATTTCTTGATTTCCTTCATCATAGAGATAGATAGCTAATGCACTACAGTTTTGTTTTGTTTACCTTGGAGTGTGTGCATGGCATCCTGATTGCTGTGGTGTTCCCATTTCACTGCCTGTTTTGTGATTTTTGTGTGTGTTTGCATACATTCTACTCTTTAAAATATATTCAAAATCATTGTCCTCCTGTGGGAAAATATAACAACTCGGCCACAGACAGGTAATATAAAAATCTAACAGGTGGAGACGAAAACTTGGGAACAAACCTTCAGTTGCTCTGGCATACAAGAAATGTTATAGAATCTAGAATACAGTCTGCAAATAAGGTATACCATGCCTTACAACAAGGCTACTGAACTGAATTTACTCTTAGCCATCATTAACAAGAAAATAAGGATCGTCATGGACCCGAGGATTGCGTTCCAGCATAGATAGATCACTAATGTACTACAGTTGGCAATTCTTCTTTTTTGTTTGTTTACCTTGGTGTGTGTGCATGGCATCCTGATTGCTCCGACTTCAATACTTTGTTTTGCTAGGGTAGACTGTGATCATACTCGAAGACCTGCCTGGTTTTATGACCTGTTGGTTTAAACAGTTCTTCCACCAGAAGGCCAGGAGTTGGACTTTTGCTGTCAGAGGTGATGCATGCACATGCCTTAGGGGTATTTGGTGAGAGTTGAGAGCTCATCCTCAGCACCCATCACCAAGCTATGACAGCCCGTCACCAAGCTATGACAGCAATTTTAAACCACAATGGCAATGATTCATGGGCGATCATAGGCCAGATTCAGCCCCTGGGCTGCCAGTTGAATAGCTCTGCCCTGCAAATTGTGCTAAAATCAAATGTTCTGTTTCGTAACACCGAGGTCAAAATATACAGAATGCTATTGTCTTATATGGCCCCAAAACCTGAAGCCCAGCTAAAAGTGATGAACTTTATTACAATTTCTTTTTTAAACAGAGCCTTAACATGAATCGTTGGACTCATCAGGGAGGCAAACAGCTGGGAATGGGGAGTGACAAGCACCAACGAAATTCATAATCTATTCAAATCACCAAAGTTGAAATTATACTATCAGACAAATTGTAGGAACAACTGGGAATTAAGATCGGCACAGCAAAAAATGAGACGCACACCAGACATGCCAGAAGACTTGTTAATCAACATAGAACTGGTACTATTTGCCATCGGACGTTGGGGTTTATACTGAGGGGAGGATCTGAGCACCTATGGACACGTCCGGAATGTAATGATGATAACCCAACTAACTAACTAACTAACTAACTTGTAGGAACAACACCAGGCAGAAAATTCTTTGAGAAACAGAAGATCAGATAGTTTCGTCATTTAGTAGGAATGCAGCTAAAACAACTACCAACACAGCGCTACACATGAAAAGATCTGAAGTGAAAGCAAGAGGCCTCATTAGGAGAAGATGGACTGATGACATTAAAGAGCTTCTAAATCAACATGGAATGACAGTAGCCATTGTAGGCATCAAGGGATGGATCATAAATGTTTCCTCCCCACAACGCTTAACAGCAACAGTGGAAATTTGATTGTTTGATTGGTGATTGTTTAAATCACCTCTGACAACTGGCATTATGAGGGCTAATAACCCTCTGTGTGCTCCAGGACCACCTTGGGGGGAAAACAAGAATAGACTTACTGCCTCCTCAACAAGCATGTCGTAAGAGTCCACTAATTGGGGGTTTTCTTTGAAGTCTACCATCTGCCTGAAGGGCAAGAAACAAACAGTCTAAATATAAGTAAGAAAACAAAAACGGATGTGCGTGCAACACTCAGGTTCTGGGACAAGACTAAAGTCCAGAGATGGATGAACAACCAGAACTTTCTGCCAGTTTACAGCCAGTGAACGTGACAAAGAAGAAGAAGAGGGCTAATAGACCAAAATCGTTGGTACATTTAGAGAGAATGGCGATGACAGGGAGACAGTACTGTGTACACAAGATGGTTGAATGGTCTTAGACTATGTGGTACACGAAGATGACGGTGGAGAGATGCTAATACTTGGAGTCACCAACTAGAAAGAAAAGGCGAATGGCAGAGATGAAGGGAGGGTGTGGGTGATAACTGCAACAATGAACCTCAAGGGCTTGGAATGCTGAGAAGAATGATCATCCTCATATTCACTCTTAATAAGTATAGGCAGTCACAGTCTACGGTCACACATCCACATGATGACCAGAATCATGAATCAGGTCAGTGTTCTTGTCTCACTCCATCCATGTGGCTAAGCCATCCAGGTATTTATTTCTTTGCCTTCCCCTTGCTCTTTTTCCATCTTCATTGTCAGTTGTCACCAAGTTCTGAGCCTATTCTCTTCCTATATCTACACAAATATTCAAAATAGGACACTGAAAAACAAAATGTAATGGTCCCTCTTTCTTTTCACATTTGTTAACTAATCAGGTGTCCTCTCCACAGCGAAGGTAGGCTGCAGTGGATCTCCAGCGTACCCTATCTATTGTCTTGGTTGCACACTCACTCAGACTGCTGTTTGACTGTATCTAGATGTTATTCTTCCATCATATAGTTGTCTAACTCTTGCGATCTTGCCCTTTCCCTCCAGAATGGTTTTGAAAGGAGTTATATTAATGTGGCTACAAAATTTACATTGTTATTTTTTCATTTTTTTCATTAAGTAACTAGTTTAAGATAATCATTTCAGAAAAAGTGTAATAATTTCTGTTTTTCTGGTAATCTAAACAGAAAAAAGTATAACTAATTCTGTTTAGTTTCTGATAATCTGCAGTAAGCAGAATCAGTATCACTATGCAGGTTGATGGATATAGAGGCACAATCTGGTGATGCTAAACCTGAACATTTCCCTAAGGGCACAAGATGTTTGATCAATCATTAGTGAATGGGAGACTTGACTAACAATACAAGAAGAGACAAGGTTACTAATACCAGCATTTGAGAAAGAGTCAGAATAAGACCATGTCTGGATTATATTGACAGACGGAGAATTAAATGGTTCAGCTTTCTAATAAGAATGCAGCCAGGCCAAACTGCATGTGAGAGTTTTTACAGTAGAACATCTGGGAGGAGGAGGAGAGGAAGACCAAGAAAGAGAAGGATAAATGGTGTAGCCAAAACCTGCAAAAAGATGAACAATTCCAATCACCCAAGCCACCTGAAAAGTGCAAGACACATACAGAAAACCATGATGAAGAAGAAGAAGATGAAGAATGGGAGATCAGTAATTTATCTGATGATATAGCCCTCACTAATCATGAATCTGATAATCGTATTTGCTGCATATCTCTTCCAGAAAATGGATGGCGCTGAAGACTTGCTGAAGCGAGAGCTTGGAACCAAGACACTCCGGAACCTAGGAAAGGCTGGTGGCGGGTGCATAAATAAAGGATCGAGTTATGAAACAGACGATGGGATTATTTTTGTTAAATTTAATGCGAAACCAGAGGTAAATAAAAAAAAATAAAAAAACATTTTGAAATGCAAATAAGATGATACATTCCTTGTAAGGGGGAGTCGCCGTGGCAGAGCGGCTACACGCGCGCTGCGGATCGGAAGGTCGTGGGTTCGCTCCCTGGTGGAGACGGACTTTTATTCAAAAACGACCTTGGCTCCCAGGTCGACCCAGCCTTGAGTGGGTACCGGGTGCAATCCCGGGAAGTAGAGGCGGCCGGCGTGATGCTGACCACATCACCCATCTTGTGCCGTTGGTCTATAAAAATATAGGTCTAGCCCTATATGCCCTATACGCCTAAAGGCGTGGAAAGGGTCCTTTACTTTACTTTTTTTTTATTCCTTGTAAGGGTTCTGTGGCCCAGTTGCAAAAAAGGGCAAAGGGGGGGGGGGGGGGGGAATAAACCCACGGACTGACAAACATATCTTAAAATTAGACTAATTAGGGGTGTTTTATCTGCCTGAGAGGCAAGGAGCTAACAGTCTGCATGCAAATAAAGATATGTAAAATGAATGTGCACACAAAACTCATGATCTGGATCAAGACCAAAGTCCAGGAGGGGACAAACAACCTGAACTTTCTGCCGGATTTTACAGCCTGTGAACGCAAAGAAGAAGAAGGTAATTAATAAAGTAAAATAAAAGTTTGATGTTTGTGAAGTTTTTATCCAGTGATTTAAGCTTCTAGAGTAAATATGATTAAATGCAAGCATGATCCAGAAGCACTGAAGGCAGCGGTGGCCTTGTACATTGGCCAGGTACTGCGTATGTTATTGTATTCGCAATCCAGACTTCGTCTTCTGGGTTTGTTCTTAAAAGGGCAGATGGCACATTGTGTTGTGGTTTACAGCTAGGCTGCAAAATTCACGCCTTTCACCAAGCATGTCTGATTTCACCAATCCCTTAATTAGACAGTTTTTACAACATCTTTGGTCTGCCTTTATTTCTTTGACTCTGCGGATTTCAGAGTAAAAACATTGTGGTTTACTGCTAGGCTGCAAAATCCACGCCTTTCATCCAGCATGTGCAATTTCACCAATCCCTTAATTATTCAGTTTTTACAACATCATTGGTCTGCCTTTATTTCTTTGACCCTGTGGATTTCAGTTTTTTTATTAAAGGGAAGTAGGTATATTCTTTTCTTCCTGGAACATCTAGGGACTGATTTTGTGTAGTGACAATGGTTATCTAATAGACTGAATGAATTTATGTGAAAACCGCTTCGTGTAATCTTCCACTTATTCTTCTGGCCTTTATTTCTTAGTGGGAGCTGCTGTGGTGTGGTAACTAAATGCTCCCATGGCCATGGGTTCAAATCTGAATGTAGCCATATTTAAAAAAAAATAAAATTCTGTAAATTCTGGCGTAAAGTCATGGTTGTTTATCCATTAGGGCTTTGCTTTTACCAGGATCTGAGTTGTGTATGCACATCCGTTTTACTGACTTATTTGTGTGCCATTCTTGTTCCTTGCCTCTTAGACAGATGTACTCCAACTTCAACTGAATTTTCAGAAATGAGCTTGGCTTGCAGGTCGACCCATCCTTAAATGGGTAGCAGGTAGAGTCCTGGGAAGTAAAGGAGGCCAGGCATGATGTTGACCACAGAGTGCTGATTTGCCTTATAAAATTTATGTCTAACATGGAGAAGGGTCCTTTGCTGTTGCTCAATCCCTCAGTGGGGCATATGCCATCAACCAGCTCACATTAAATTTGTCTATCCTATGCTGTCGCGTTCAGCTCATCCCACTTCCTCTCCATCTCTTTACCTTCACTCTAGTTACCCTCCACAAGTGTTTTTGATATGTCTTTATTTCTTTGACATAGTTGATTCCAATGTAAAGGCATTCTAGTTATATTGTTCTCAGCTTTTCTTAATATGTGCCCTATCTGATATTGGAATTTGTTCAGTTCTCTCCCAAAGATCCGCAGTAATGTAACAAATGAGTTTATTAGTGACTGAATATATTTAGCCATTGAATGTTTAAAGCGGCCAGTGTGCATGGTTACTACATTTATTGTGTGAGTGTTCTAAATTTCTGTCTAAACTCAAAACAATTTTACACATATTAATGAAGCCATAAATAAAGGTATATTTTTAACATGAGAACTTACAGATATATACCAGCATAATAATACAGTAAAACCTCATTAACACAAAATCCGAGGGTAGGAAAAATCACGAGTTCATGGTAAAAAAAATTCATTCTAACCGCGGGTTACTAGATATGAAATGAATATTACACCCTTGTTAGTTGCATATCATTTAAAGGACATTGCAGAACCAACCCCAGCATTTTTTGGAGGCTGTTGTGATTTTTTTTTCTAAGGCAAATTTGACATTCAGTAGTTTGGCAGTTACATCCCTGCATGGAGGAATATCATCGGTTGAACTGATCCAGAACACCCAAGACCGAGATCTGTGGAGATGCTTGAATGCCTACATCGGCTGCCAAGGCACTTGATGATGTTGATGATGATGATCCCTGCTGGGGCCAAAATTTTATTCATGTTAACCGAGTGTTCACCTTAAGCGAGTTTGTGTTAATGAGATTTTACTGTACATAAAACTCCTTATGTGGGTTCAGGGGTCCCATCTTGCGGAAGCAAGGAATAGACCCACCGACCCCTTAACTGATATGTTCACATTTGTAAAACAGATGTGCACACAAAACTGAAGTTCTGGAACGAGACTCAAGTCGAGAAGTGGACAAACAAATAAAACTTTCTGCTGGAGTTTACAGCTGGTGAGCAGGAGGAAGATAAAAACTGTAGATAAAAAAAATGTAGATATGTTGGCTTGCACCAACAGATATGAATACACAGTTGCAATTACATGTCTAGACATATAAGTATGTATGTTGTACTCTGTTTGCACCAACACATGTGAATACACAGTTGCATTTAAATGTGTGGACATATGAGTATGTATGTTGTACTCTGTTTGCACCAACAGATATGAATACACAGTTGCAATTACATGTGTAGACATATAAGTATGTATGTTGTACTCTGTTTGCACCAACACATGTGAATACACAGTTGCATTTAAATGTGTGGACATATGAGTATGTATGTTGTACTCTGTTTGCACCAACATATGTGAATACACAGTTGCATTTAAATGTATAGACAAATAAGTATGTATGTTGTACCCTGTTTGCACCAACATATGTGAATACACAGTTGCCTTTAAATGTGTAGACATATAAGTATGTATGTTGTACTCTGTTTGCACCAACATATGTGAATACACAGTTGCATTTGAATGTGTAGACATTTAGGTATGTATGCTGTACTCTGTTCACTCAAGGCGTTACGTATGTTCGAGGGAGAGTTTGCCAGCCTTGAAGCACTAAGAGAAACTGGCCAGGTGACTGTTCCTAAGCCTGTCAAGGTAAAAGACATCTGTTATATATATCTATTAATTCTTTCTTTTCCATTTTGATGATGTTGACAATATCACCCATCGAGTGCAGATTTAAAAAAATAGGCCCCACCATGCATGCGATACACCGGTACTACTTTTGTTTGTGGTTTGTTTGTTTTGTTTTGTAGCTCTGTGGAGATAATGTCTGCCCATTCCAGATGTTTATAATTACAAAGATCTATCAGTGAAGTCATGTGTCAGAAATGTAAGGTTAAAAAAAAGGCAGAATGTTATAGTTAACCTGTGTCTCCAGTTCATAACCCCTTAAAAATACTATTGTTTCATTCATTCATAGAAAACTTACATCCTCTGATGAACGTAAAATTGTGACAACAGAAATAAAATGCTTTAGAAGCACTGCATGAGTTTCAAGGAAAGACAGAATAAAGCCAGTCTTACAGGTTATCAAAGAACAACAAATGAAGTGTTTTGGACACCTAACAAGAAGGCCCTGGTACTATCTACCACAGCCGGCCACACTAAAATGTTACAAAGGGGATAGAGTGAACAGAAGACCTTGGAAAAGATGGAGTGTGCATTAGGAACAGTCTTACAGAAATGAACATCAGTATTAATAGTGCTCTTGACAGAACTCATCAACAAATGTTACATCTCCCCCGACACTTCACTGAGGTACAAGGTGGAAGAGAAGGAGAAGAAAAAGAATGAATGAACGAATGAATCAAGAACTGACATCATTGTACTCAGGAGATTCCCATATATGCTCATCTAGACCCCCTCCCTCTTCATTCACCAACGATTTAGATGTTGTGAGGGCCCTTTGGGAATGGGTGAACAGGGCAAAGGCGCAGATAGATCTTAGGAGAATGGCACTGTGAGGAGTTACCAGGGGATCTGGCCGATGCTCAACACTCAGGGGAAGGATGAGGTGCATACACAGATGGTTACTGGTACCATTGAAATTGGAACTCTTTGCTTGCTGCTGAAGATGAGAACTGAGCACTTATGGGAGTGTCCCTAGTGCTGTGATGTTGATTCCTTATTCAACATTCATTCACAATTGAAATCATTCTCTCTAGAAAGGGATGCTGTGTCTGTTCTATTGCACTGTTTACTAAATCCCACAGAGCCTTCACTTCATTCACTTTATCATAATGCAGCTCACTGTTCAGAGGATGGCAGCAGCCAATCTATCAGCACCCTCATTATAAAGCATACCTGAATATATTGAGCACAAAATATCCATGAGAGAAGATTTACTTTTCTTGTTTCTGGAAGAAGTTACTCACCACTTAAGGGGGGTTACATTCTGTTGTGTAACCTCACCTAATTACCCACTTGCAGCTGAACCAAACCTGGGATGTTGGAGTTCTGAAACTGTATTAAAAACCCCCTACTCCTGCAGTGTCAGCTCACACAGAGTCAAGTATTACAACTTTTATACATCTCTGTATCATCAGGTGATGAGAAATCCAAATGGGGGAGCTATTCTGGTGTTGGAATACTTTGATATTCAAGGACTATCTAAATATGCTGCCAAACTAGGGGAGCAGATGGCAAGGTAACGTTGTCTGTCTTCTTCTTTGTGTTCACCGACTGTCAGCTCTGATGGAAAGTTCTGGTTGTTTGTCCACTTCTGGACTGTTGTTGCAGAACTTTGAATGCACATCTGTTTTATAGATCTGGCTTATTTGTATGCAGACAGCTGGTTCCTCACCTGCCTCTTCTTTGAAGGAAACAATTAATTAGTTGACTTTTACGACATGCTTTTTAGGGTGCAGACCTCAGCAAAGATAGATACCAGACATTGAAGAGGTAATGGCTATGAAAGCACATAAGGCTGGAGAAGTGGCCAGAGAAAGCAAGGCATTTAGATCTGAAGGTTGTGGGTTCATTCCACAGACTGCGTCATTTCATGGATGCACAGAGATCCTTTGGGATTATTACTGGAGCTTCAGAGTTTGTGCGTTGTGTGATACTCTCGGCAGTTCTAGGTTTACGTATAGGCTAAATAAGCTACAGGTTTGAGCCACACAGTCTGCAGGGACTTGACTAAATTGGTAATAGTTACATTGGTCTCCCCATCGACTGCCCATTTACACACTAACTCACTTCTGATTGGTTGACCTTCAGTCTAGCTAACTTCTGTTTGGTCGACCTTGAGCCACGCGAACTTGACTCATTTTCACGGGGGTGGGGGAGGGGGAGGTTCTGCAATGCCGTTGACATCACGTATTGTGTATTTAACCATGCCAGAGCTTTTAACACTCCAGCTGGGTCTAATACACAACACCTTTAGAGAGTGATAAAACCTATGTCACCGGCAGTCTTTTTCTCGGAATAAAAATTAATTGCAAAAAAAAAACCGACCGCCACACCCATAACCTCGACCACAGTGGACTAGTCCAACAAACTTATCAATGGAACATGACCTACTTTCTGTGGGGAGACCAACGTTTCAATAACCACAAAATCCATTCTTTTCACAAATGTAATTTTCTGTCATTATATTTTACATGCAGTTTAAAAAAAATTTTAAACAAATATCTTACATTTATATCATTAAGTCTAAATCTGAACTTGGTTCTCACTGTGTTTTACAAAAGGTGTGTATAAATGCTGCCCCTGTGAAAATGAATATGAATGACTGCAGTGAAGCTGATTGATGAAGTAAATATGAGTGACTGCTACTATGTATTTCCTTTTCCCTGCTGACTGTTTCAGTTTAATTAGTCTTTTGTTTTACATGTTGATAAAGAGTGGGATACAAATTTGGTTGTATTTTTGCATGTCTTTTTTATTTTCCTCTGTTGAGCTTTCTAGTCACAGTTAGTTTATGTAATCAAATACTTAGGTTTAAGATAAATAAATGGGCAATTTGAAAATATTTATCTTCAAAACGATAATTCATTCAATGACAAATGTAGCAAATTAATTAAACTGTAGTTCAATTTGTGTAATAATCTACTTGATAACAGTTGTTACCACTGATCTTCCATGCCAGCCTCACAAAAACGGGAATTCCCGTTTGAGCTGTATGGCCTTATATCTGTAGCTGGCCGTGTCAGCATCCTAGCACATTGACACAGCAACCATCTCAGTCTCCGTACTCAGCTTAACCAGAAGGAGTTGACTGGTATTATTCTTTCTTTCTTGTCGAAGAAGAGGAGGGCAAAGAAGAATCTGGAATGACAACATCAAGAAATGGACAGGACTAAGTTATCATACACTTATTAATCAAGCAGAAGGCAGAGAAAGATGGCAGGTTTTATGTGCTAGTGCTTCCGTCGATGCACCTCCATGACCCTAACAGATCAATGGATATGTTACGTTATGTTTTCTTCTTTTATTGCCCTGCATACTTGTTGTCAATTAATACCTGTGTCAAGTAGGTAGTTTTTTGTCTCTGATTCCTATTTCTCAGCATCTTTGAAATGCAATGCATTCAGTATGTCTGCCCTGTCCATACTTCTTCCTCCACTAACCTCTGCAGACACAACCAGTTTGTTAGCTCTTTCATTTCCTTTTACCATCGGCATCTCTCGTTGTCTACAGCCGAGATAGTTTCTTGTGACAGGACTTCTGAATGCTGTCAGCCCATTCTTATCAGAGTTTGCCAGTTTGAATCTTCTTAAGCATGCTCAGTACCGGTACCATCAGTGCTGGAACTCTGTGCTGGCTGCCGAAGATGAGGACGGAGCATGCATGGAAATGCCCAGAGTGCTGTGATGTCAGTTCTTGACTCAACTATGCTCTGTGTACATTAGAATTGAAACTCAAGTGTTTATGGGAATGTCACAAGTGCTATGGTGTCATTTCTAAAATCAACTAAACTCATTTTCTTTTTTTTACGTTATGCTGTGAAAGTAAGTCAGCTCTGTGGCTAAGTCCATGTAAACGCTTCGTAATGCCAGGTTCAATCCCAGATGCGGGCCATGTGCCTTGCATTGGTTTCAACAGTGGTATCAAGAAAGCCGACCGTCCAGAAAGCAATGGCAAACTACTGGACGTAAATTTGCCTAGAAAAACCACGCAACAGCCAGGGGCTGTTGGGGTTAATTCTGCAACATCCTGTAAAGGATACGCAACTAAGCTAACCTGTGAAAGTAATCCATGAACACTTGCTTTATTGTGGCAATAGTTCTGTTCAGACATTTGCTGTGATATTTTCTTAGACTGAAACAAAATTAATTAATTTGTGTTTCAGACTTCATCTGCATAATGCAGAACTTGGTAAATTAGCCAAGAAGTCAGAGCAGTCGATTCACTTACAGGGACAGTACTCTAGCTATGTGGACAAATTTGGGTTCCCAATCGTAACTTGCTGTGGTTATATCCCTCAGGAAAATGGATGGATGGAATCTTGGGTGGTAAGGATATATAATTCTTCTTCTTCATCGTTCATCCAAGTGACCTAAATGTGTTTTGCCTATTTGCAGCATAGCTGAGATATTTGCCCCTTTTTGGCTGTCACATTCAACGTCTTCAGGCAATTGTTATCTGGGTTAGCCCTTGCGGTTAGTTTTATGGAGCGTTTGTAATATGAAATGTGTGGTGACTTCATCCTCCTCTGATCCTCACGCTTTGTCCCTAGAGGATCTGTCTAAGACAACCACATGGAGATCGGTCGACCCTCAAGGGAGGGCAGAGGTTAGAGCATGGGCATTTCCCCGCCATCCAAGGAGGCTTCCATAGAGCAGAGCGGATACCTGAGCTCTGGTACTGGGCTCAGCCAAGGAATCGCTATGTCCTGCATTTGACTTGTTAACTTCACTTTCATATAGTGAACCTTCCACTCATTATAAGCTGTGCCCTGAAGGGACCCCAGTGAAGCAGTCTGCACCTTCTTCTTCGTGTTCACTGGCAGTAAACTCCAGTTGAAAGCTCTTGGTGTTTGTCCACTTCCAGACTTAAGTCTTCTTCCAAAACTTGAGTGCTGGGCTCTTATTTGTTTCACAGATCTGGCATATGTATGCAGACTTGTGGTTCCTTGTCTCTCAGGCAGATGTACTCCGACTTCGAAGGATGTCCCCAATTAGTCAACTCCTACAACATGCCTGTTGGGGAGGCAGTGGATCTATTCTTGTTTTCCCCACAGTGAGGCCCCGGAACCTAAACATGGAAGTATGCAGCAGAGACTCCGAATCTCTGCACAAATGAGCATCTCACTTCCTCCTCAAATTCTGTTTCAGGATTTGTGTCTATACCATGCAGGTCACTAATAAATAGTTTATTGGCTAGTTCTTCCTCTGCATTCTCCTTTGAAAAGGCAGTTAACACTCTGTGTTGTCGTTTGAGTAATGTTCAATCCCACCAGGACTGCACAGAGTGCCACTATTCGGCTGAGAATTACCTGGGTGCAAGTCCCAGAAACCCTGTTCAGCCGATATGTTATATTAGGACCCCCAACTACACCAGGGTCTCTTTTTGGGGCGCGGTTTCAGTAGATATTTTTATGTTGGGTTTACAGCAAGGTTGTGATATTTGTGCTTTTTGACCTAATACATCCAGTTTAAGTAAGTCTTTCATTACTGTATGTATCCATGCATAGGATTCTCCCAAGAATAAGACGACCCACAATTTTTTTTTTAAAGCCAAAAATAAAGAAATAATTTTTTTATCACATTTACTGAATAAGACGACCCACTGTTTTATACTTCAAAAATTTGGAAAACAGATTGTTTTATACACAGAAAAAATATTGTAATCGCCCTTTACAACATGCTTGGTAACTTTTTTTTTAAAAAGTTCCTGGCATTTGTTCCTTCAACTTTTCTAGCCCAGATTTTGGGCATTTCGTATAAATTTGAAAATTAATGAGTTAAAACTGTACAATAATGGGACAGAAGAAAGTAAATTACCGTTTGGGATAGAGTGGGTTAACTCTTTCGGTACTGGACAACTCACTGTACACTTCTTATTAGTTCCAAAGATGGTGTGATGTTCATGCTGTTTTCTAAAACAGGCTTTCTTTTTTTCTTTCTTCTTCTTCTTCTTCTTCTTCTTCTTCTTCTTCTTCTTCTTCTTCTTCTTCTTCTTCTTCTTCTTCTTCTTCTTCTTCTTCTTCTTCTTCTGCTTTTCTAACCCCCAATGGAGCATAAGCTGTCAATCAATGAACAGACTTTATCCCTGAATATATGAATTCTTAGGTTGACTTATTCTGCCCCATAATGTCTGCTTTTAGCCCTTCAAACCTAAATGTTGTATTTTATTCAAGCTCTGCTTGTTGGTACAGACCTAAAGTTAACAATAGCTTGGGATTGAAAGAGTTAATGTAACCAAAGAACGAAACCCTTAATATTATTAAATGTATGCATGTACGGTGTCAACAGTGAACATGTACTTTATAAACGTGTTGTAGTTTTCCTAATATAGCTTCTTCTTCCTCCTCTTCACTTCCTATTTTATTGCTTCAGGTTCCCTTTGTGCTCCGAGACCTTTTTGTCAGGAAAACCAGTATAGACCCACTGCCTCCCCAAAAAGCATGTTCTAAGAGTCCACGAACTGGGGGTTTCCTTCGAAGTTGGAGTGCATCTGCATGAGAGGCAAGGAACCAGCTGTCTGCATACAAATAAGTCAGATATGTAAAATAGATGTGCACGCAACATTAAGGTTCTGGAACAAGACTAACATCCAGAGGTGGACAAACAACCAGAAGTTTCCGCCAGAGTTTGCAGCCGGTGAACAAGAAGAAGAAGACTACTTCGGGTGTTGAGAGAGATATAAGGATCTGCTTCTTGCTTTTTGGTTGCCTTGACCACAGACACATTGTGCTGTTGTAGAGTTTATCTGATTTTTATCTTTCCATATTGTTCTTGGTCTACCTCGTGCTCTGTGTCTATCTCTTATGGTATCTGTTTTGTATTGTGCTACAAGGCATTTTCTTAAGTGGGCAGAACATATTATTTGCTGTCTTTGTGTGTTATTCAGAACTGGTTCTGTGCCCACTTATTATCTTATGACCTAATTCCTTATTTGATCTTTTCTGGTCACCCCTGCAGCCCTTCTCAGACATCTCATTTCCATGGTTGATCATTTTCTGCCACAGGTAGCAAAAGGTTGGAATGATTATATTGTTTGTATTTCTTGATGCTGTTTGGGATTGCCTTATGTTGATAAGGTTTGCCAGCTGTCCCAGTACTCAGTTTGCCAGCTGTCCCAGTACTTGGTTTGCCAGCTGTCCCAGTATTTGGTTTGCCAGCTGTCCCAGTACTCAGTTTGCCAGCTGTCCCAGTACTCAGTTTGCCAGCTGTCCCAGTACTTGGTTTGCCAGATGTCCCAGTATTTGGTTTGCCAGCTGTCCCAGTACTCAATTTGCCAGCTGTCCCAGTACTCAGTTTGCCAGCTGTCCCAGTACTTGGTTTGCCAGCTGTCCCAGTACTTGGTTTGCCAGCTGTCCCAGTACTTGGTTTGCTAGCTGTCCCAGTACTTGGTTTGCCTTACTTCATTGGATGTTAATCGGATGGGCATGTGATCATATATTTTTATAGACCAGTCAGTACTGGGTGGTTGATTTGGTCTACACCACACTACGGCCGCCTTTCCTACCAAAGACATTGCCTATTACCCATTTAAGGCTGATTTCACCTGGGAGCCAAGGTCAGTTTAAAAAACAAAAATCCAGCTGGATTTAAACCCAAGACATTTGGGTCAGCAATCGAGTATCTAGCCTCTGTGCTACAGTGGCTTCTTTTCAATATATTATTATTTTAACGTCTTTTGCTTAAACTTTGGCTACTTTATATTAGAAACTGTTTTGAAAAGGAAGAGTGAAAGTAATTATTTGAAAAAAAGGGTTGAGGACAAGCTGGAAAGCATTATAGTTCTGAAGTTTTAAAAAGCAATTACAGTTCTTGAAATAATTGATTGGACATGAGTCTTTTTATTTTGTTTACAGGATTTCTTTGCTAGAAAAATAGAACAGCATGTTAATCTAGCAGAAGAGAAGGTAGGTTTCTTGCATGTTTTTCTCTTCAAAGGTTCCCCGTGTGAGTTCCAGGGCCCCACTGTGGGGAAAACAAGTATAGACTCACTGCTTATCCAAAAGCATGTCATAAAAGTCTACTAATTGCACGCTTCCTTCGAAGTTGTAGTGCATCTGCCTGAGAGGCAAGGAACCAGCAGTCTGCTTACAAATTAGATCTGTAATATGGATGCAAACACAACACTCAAGATTCTGGACTGCAGTCCAGAAGTGGATGTACAGTTAGAACTTTCCGCCAGAGTTTACAGCTGGTGAACTTGAAGAAGAAGAAGTTTTAAAAAGTAAGTGCTAGTCATCACTGGCCTGATTTTCTTCACTTCTGACAAACTGGATTGCCCCTTTGTTTCCCCTTTGTTTGTGATGGCATTGTCTTCCTGTTCAAAGAGACAGAGGCAGCAGCAGAGAAGAAGTAAGTCGAAGAAGAAGAAGCAGCAGTAGTAGTTTGCACCATAAATGACACATCTGTTTTAACAGGCTGGGGTTTTTCCCGAACTTGGTTTTTTCCCCATGGTCTTTCCATCTCCAGTTTCACCAGCATATCTGGTTTATATACGTTCAATAAATCACAGACTTTTCAGAACATTTCAAGATTCCACATGTATGTATCAATTGAATACTTCATTTGTAATAGCTTCAAATCCCGACAATCATTCTCGATAACCCTGCATATATGCACACCATTTTCACTTAAACGCCTTAGAACAGGACACAATCGACTTTGCAGCCACATTTACACAAAATTTAAAATCGTTGATTCAGCCATTTGCACATGTAGACTGGCACCTGAGACAACAGATCATGTCCTTCAAGACTGTCCCAAATACAACATATCCAGGCAAAACTTTTGGCCAAGAGAAACATCTGTGCAAGTCAAACTTTACGGGTCGCTGAGTGAATTACAAATGACAGTGAAGTTCATACTAGAGACAACAATGCAGGTATCGATAATCTATTTCAAGTGAACAAAAAAAGAAAAAGAAGAACTTAAAACTGGACATTTTTCACATAAACATTTAAAAAAATGTTACTGGACAATGTTCAAACCACTTGGGAAGTATTTTTAGAACAAGCTACGGGGAACCGCAAAGGACCTGAAACTGACATGCTTATTTATAGAGGCAGCCCAAGTGACAATCTGACCTGAGCATTCGATCGAATGCAAAGAAGAAGAAGATCAACTAAAAAATTTAGGGAAGGAGGGGGGGGGGGGGGGGTGTGCGTGCATGTGCACATGTCTCTCTCTCCTCTCCACTCCCCCCCACACACACGCACAGGCACACACACACACACACAGACACACAGAGATTAATTCGCTATCTGCTACAACTTCATCTGCACCGCTGGTGGTGATTTGATACACGACAAGGCGGATGTGGTCAAGGCCCTTTGGGGACAAGCAACAGAATCAGTAGAGATAGCAGATTATTATGGCCTGGAGAGAATGAGGCACCTGGGTGTAATCAGAGGGTTAGGCCGGCTCACTACACTCAGAGCAAAGGCAAGATGGACTTATAACCAGATTGTGACCGGTACCATCAGTATTGGAATTCTGCGCTGGCTGCTAAAAATGAGGATGGAACACACATGAGAAATGTCCTGAGTGCTGTGATATCAGTTCTTGACTCAACTTTACTCAACTCAACTGCTACAACTTCGTGTACCTGGCAGAGTCAACCATCTCATCTCAAAAGACATTTATGTTAAAAAATAATAGTAATAATAATACAATTATTTTTTTTTACAATTGAAGACATGTTTACAGAGGGATTACGTTGACCTAACTGCACTGCTTAATACTCTACTGCTTTTAATAATCCAGTGGCTGATTTTGATCATATTGCCTTTTTTTTTTATCATTGCAGTAGGTTGATTTTGATCTGAATGCTTTTATGTTACCAGTTCAATTATACTACTTTGACCTTATTGCACCAATATAGTTGAATTATTTTGACCATGCTGCTTTTTTTCGTTTCAGTACAACGACCGAGAGGCCAGGCCAATTTGGTCATCACTTGCTCCGAACATACATAAAATGTTTAAAGATATTGAGATTCAGCCAGCACTTCTGCACGGTGATTTATGGGGCGGAAATGTAGGGGAGATAACCGAAGGACCAGGTGATAGCCCATAACTAAGTTATTTTGGTTGTTTTTATATCTTAATCTGTGTTTTGATGCATGTGAGCAGGGGCAGTAAGCAGACAAGCTGGTGCTTTATTAATATCCTACCCCAAACAGGGGAAATCCCCAGGTCATGGAACAGTCTAATATTTCAGGGGGTGGTAGATAGGCTGCATGCAGTCGTAGGAACTAGGCTGCACTCTCTCGTGGGACCTGTGTGGATTGGGGTTAGGGCCAGTTCTAGATGTTTGGGGTCGTTAAAAGCATCAGAAAGACAGGAAACCCAGTCTTACCACGCTCTAAAATGTTTTACTGTCCTGTGACATCCTCTGGGGTAGGATATTAATAAAGCACTGACCAGCTGAATACCACCTCCTAGCAGCAAAGATGTGGTTTCTGAGAAGAAAGCAAAGAATATTATTGAACGATTAAAAGATTAGCAAGGCAGTTGTCTTTGAGACAGATAAATATCATAAATTGATTAGAAAAATTAATCATAGACATACAGGATTTTCTGGGAGATATTGTGAGAAGGAATAGACTGAATAACTTGGTTACAGCTAGACAGATTGACAGAACAAGAGCAAGGGGAAGGAAAAGAGATAAATCTCTGGATGGCTTTACCATATGGATGGGGATCGAGATAAGAACACTGACCCGATTGGGATTCTGATGATCATGTGAGATGTTGAAACATGAGCTCCTTTTCTTATTTCCAGGGCAGATGATGATGATGATGATGATGATGATGATGATGATGATGATGATGATGATGATGAGGATGACGACTTCTCTGTGTTCCTCTTGTGTTATCATCAGTCGTCAATCTGGTGCCGTATTCACAGTAAAGTATGGCTGCTGTGGATCTCCAGCACTTGTCTTTCATTTTGGTTGTGCACTCTCCGAGTCTGCTGTTTTGTCCATCTCTTGATGTTATCTGGGGCAGTGTTCTTCACACCGCCAAACATCTGCCCCAATTATTTAATGCAGTGGTTCTCAACCTGTGGGTTGCCACCCCATTGGCGGTCGAATGACGCTTTCACAGGTGTCGCTTAAGACCATTGAAAAACACATATTCACTGAAATTATGAAATAGCAACAAACATAATTTTATGGTGGTGGTGGTGGGGGGGGGGGGGGGGGGTCACTGCAACACAAGGAACTGTATTAAAGGGCTACGGCTTTAGGAAGGTTGAGAACCACTGATCTAATGGAATATCATAGGTAGTTTGTCTCTTCCGGATTAGCAGTCTGCAGGATTAACACCTCAAGGATGAGAATCAGACCGGTACAAGTGATATCCACCATAACAGGTCAGCATTTAAAAATTTTAAAGCAAAACTGTCGTTTTAGAACTACCACTCCAGTTGTATATATCAGGTTTTTCTAAGCTCTAAGCATTAGTAGGTGTCACACTGGCTAAAAATTGTAATACTTTGACATCTACATTGATTTTTTTGAGGTGTTTTGTCTTGGTGTTTTTGTCTTGGTGTTTTTATCTTGTTGTTTTGTCTTGGTGTTTTTGTCTTCGTGTTTTATCTTGGTGTTTTGTCTTGGTGTTTTTGTCTTGGTGTTTTTGTCTTGATGTTTTGTCTTGGTGTTTTGTCTTGGTGTTTTTGTCTTGGTGTTTTGTCTTGGTGTTTTGTCTTGGTGTTTTTGTCTCAGTGTTTTGTCTTGGTGTTTTGTCTTGATGTTTTTGTCTCGGTGTTTTGTCTTGGTGTTTTGTCTTGGTGTTTTTGTCTTGGTGTTTTGTCTTGGTGTTTTGTCTTGATGTTTTGTCTTGATGTTTTTGTCTTGATGTTTTGTCTTGATGTTTTGTCTTGGTGTTTTGTCTTGATGTTTTTGTCTTGATGTTTTGTCTTGATGTTTTGTCTTGGTGTTTTGTCTTGATGTTTTTTTCTTGATGTTTTGTCTTGATGTTTTGTCTTGGTGTTTTGTCTTGATGTTTTTGTCTCGGTGTTTTGTCTTGGTGTTTTGTCTTGGTGTTTTTGTCTTGGTGTTTTGTCTTGGTGTTTTGTCTTGGTGTTTTGTCTTGGTGTTTTTGTCTTGGTGTTTTGTCTTGGTGTTTTTGTCTTGGTGTTTTTGTCTTGGTGTTTTATCTTGGTGTTTTTGTCTTGGTGTTTTTGTCTTCGTGTTTTATCTTGGTGTTTTTATCTTGGTGTTTTTGTCTTGGTGTTTTTGTCTTGGATTTTTGTCTTGATGTTTTTGTCTTCGTGTTTTATCTTGGTGTTTTTGTCTCACTGCTCCAATCGGTACACGAAGGGTACGCAGTCTGTCCAGTAAAAAATCATTTCCATGAAATTGAAAACATTACGTTTACTTTCTCCTATGGCAGTGATGATGTCTCTCCTGTCCATTGATGGCTCATTCTTTTAGATCAGTCTCATAATAGTTTTTGGGTCAGTGCTGTAGTCTTATCTGTCAGTCATAAATACTTGTGCCTCAGCGCTGTTATCTCATTTCTCAGTCATAAATACTTGTGCCTCAGCGCTGTTATCTCATTTCTCAGTCATAAATACTTATGCCTCAGTGCTGTCATCTTATTTCTCAGTCATAAATACTTATGCCTCAGTGCTGTCATCTCATCTGTCAGTCATAAATTGTTGTGCCTCAGTGATGTCATCTCATCTGTCAGTGATAAATACTTGTGCCTCAGTGCTGTCATCTCATCTGTCAGTCATAAATACTTGTGCCTCTGTGCTGTCATTTCATCTGTCAGTGATAAATACTTGTTCCTCAGCGCTGTCATCTCATCTTTCAGTCATAAATACTTATGCCTCAGTGCTTTTCATCTCATCTGTCAGTCATAAATTGTTGTGCCTCAGTGATGTCATCTCATCTGTCAGTGATAAATACTTGTGCCTCAGTGCTGTCACCTCATCTATCAGTCATAAATACTTGTGCCTCAGTGATGTCAACTCATCTGTCTTTGATAAATACTTGTGCATCAGCGCTGTCATCTCATTTGTCAGTGATAAATACTTGTGCCTCAATGCTGTCATCTCATCTGTCAGTCATAAATATTTGTGCCTCAGTGCTGTCATCTCATCTGTCAGTCATAAATACTTGTGCCTCAGTGCTGTCATCTCATCTGTCAGTCATAAATACTTGTGCCTCAGTGCTGTCATCTCATCTCACAGTCATAAATACTTGTTCCTCAGCGCTGTCATCTCATCTTTCAGTCATAAATACTTATGCCTCAGTGCTTTTCATCTCATCTGTCAGTCATAAATTGTTGTGCCTCAGTGATGTCATCTCATCTGTCAGTGATAAATACTTGTGCCTCAGTGCTGTCACCTCATCTATCAGTCATAAATACTTGTGCCTCAGTGATGTCAACTCATCTGTCTTTGATAAATACTTGTGCATCAGCGCTGTCATCTCATTTGTCAGTGATAAATACTTGTGCCTCAATGCTGTCATCTCATCTGTCAGTCATAAATATTTGTGCCTCAGTGCTGTCATCTCATCTGTCAGTCATAAATACTTGTGCCTCAGTGCTGTCATCTCATCTGTCAGTCATAAATACTTGTGCCTCAGTGCTGTCATCTCATCTCACAGTCATAAATACTTGTGCCTCAGTGCTGTCATCTCATCTGTCAGTCATAAATACTTGTGCCTCAGTGCTGTCATCTCATCTGTCAGTCATAAATACTTGTGCCTCAGTGCTGTCATCTCACCTGTCAGTCATAAATACTTGTGCCTCAGTGCTGCCATCTCACCTGTCAGTCATAAATACTTGTGCCTTAGTGCTGCCATCTCACCTGTCAGTCATAAATACTTGTGCCTCTGTGCTGTCATCTCATCTGTCAGTCATAAATTCTTGTGCCTCAGCGCTGCCATCTCACCTGTCAGTCATAAATACTTGTGCCTCAGTGCTGCCATCTCACCTGTCAGTCATAAATACTTGTGCCTCAGTGCTGCCATCTCACCTGTCAGTCATAAATACTTGTGCCTCAGTGCTGCCATCTCATCTGTCAGTCATAAATACTTGTGCCTCAGTGCTGCCATCTCACCGGTCAGTCATAAATACTTGTGCCTCAGTGCTGCCATCTCACCTGTCAGTCATAAATACTTGTGCCTTAGTGCTGTCATCTCATCTGTCAGTGATAAATACTTGTGCCTCAGTGCTGTCATCTCACCTGTCAGTCATAAATACTTGTGCCTCAGCGGTGTCATCTCACCTGTCAGTCATAAATACTTGTGCCTCAGTGCTTTGATCTTGTGAATCAGCACATTCTATTTTTGCTCTAAACCACTGTATCATCAGCCGTTAGTTTTTGTATGTCTCGTGTATCATTGTGCATTCATGCTCTCAGCTCAACTTTCAGTCATTAAATATCTGTGTATCATTCCCTTATCTCATTTCTAATTCATTAACTATTGTGTATCATTGCTATCATCTCATTTATCAGTCACTGAATATTTGTGTATCATTTCTCTCATCTTACCCATCAGTCTTTAAATATTTGTGTATCAGTGCTCTTATCTTGGACATCAGCACTAATTGCTTATCTTGTTTATCAAGGCTAATTAATGTTTCACTCCTCAGTGATCTTTGACCCAGCATCCTTCTACGGCCACAACGAGTATGAAATGGCAATCTCCAGCATGTTCGGGGGGTTCAGCAAGGCATATTACACCAGTTACTATCAGGTGAACCCCAAACAGCCGGGATATGATGAGAGGCAGGACCTCTACCAGATGTTTCATTACTTTAATCATTGGTAAGTTAAACATATTGAGCTCTCATATGGGCTCTATGGGTAGCATTGAGGGGGGGGGGGGGTGGGTGGGTGGGTGGGGGGGGGTGGTGGAACCCGTGCACCCCCCCCCCAAAAAAAAGAAAATACTAGTTTATCGTAAAGGTATACTAATTAGGGGTAAGTAAAGATCCCTTTTAAGGCCAAAAAAACACATGGAGAAGAGAGCTGGAGAATGAGGTTAGAAAGATTGGGAGGACATGGGGAGAACTCCATGCAATGGCAAAGGATAGAACGACTTGGCGTGAGTTGGTTGAGGGCCTATGCTCCATTGGGGGATAGAAAGGCAGAAGAAGAAGAAGAAAGGTCCCTTTTCTACGCCTTTAGGCCGTATTGGGAATATAGGGCTAGACCTATATTTTTATAGATCAATCGGCACTTGATGGGTGATGTGGTCAGCATCATGCCGGCCGCCTTTACTTCCCACGACTGCACCTGGTACCCACTCAAGGCTGGGTCGACCTGAGAGCCAAGGTCATTATTGAAAAAACAAAAATCCAGCTCCGTCAGGACACGAACCCACGACCTTCCGATCCGCAGGTGGGCGTCTAGCTCCCAACGCCATGGTGACTACTAATTAGAGGTATTTCCTTCAAAGTTCGAGTGCTTCTGCCCGTGAGGCAAGGAATTAGCAGTCTCCCGCACACAAATAAGCCAGATCTGTGAAATGGATACGCATGCAAAACTCAAGCTCCGGAACACAACTGGAGTCCAGAAGGGGACAAACAACCAGAACTTTCCACCAGGGATTTCAGCTGGTGTCTTAGAACAGGACACAGTCAATTTCACAGCCACATGTACACAAAATTTAAGATTGGCGAATCAGCCATGTGCACATGTGGATTGGCACCTGAGACAACAGATCACGCTCTCCAAGACTGTCCTAGATACAACATTTCCAGGCAAAACTTCTGGCCAAGAGAGACACTGATGGAAGCAAAACTGTACGGGCTGCTAAGTGAATTATGAAAGACATTGAAGTTCCTACTAGAGACAGCGTTGCAAATATAGATAATTTATTCCAACTGAATGAAAGAAGCAGAAGAAGAAGCTGGTGAGCACTAAAACAGAAGAAACGTTGCATGTGATTTTATTTAACATGTAAGAGTTGAGTCAAGAATTGACATCACAGCACTCTAGGCATTTCTTATTCGTGCTCCGTCCTCATTTTCATCAGCTAGCGCAGAGTTCCAATACTGATGGTACCTGTCACAATCTGGTTATATGTCCGTCTTGCCTTTCCTCTGAGTGTAGTGAGCCGGCCAGACCCTCTGGTTACACCCAGGTGTCTCATTCTCTTCAGGCCATAATTATCTTGTTTCTCTACTGATTTCGTTCCTTGTTCCTAAAAGGCCTTGACCACATCTGCCTTGTTAACATGTAAGAATACCTTTCTAACTTCCAAAACTTTTAGGAAGATATTCCACATTTTGTAAAGTGTTTTTACTTTTTTTTTTTTTTCAGATTTTATTTTTTTATTCTGTGAAAACCAATGGTAAAAAAATATCGAACAGTGAAAACACATATACATCTGTCTAAAATATGTTTTCGATTTTTAACAAAGATACTTGATGTTTGTTCTGACAGGAATCATTTTGGTGGTGGCTATAAAACATCGACATTGAGAGTGATGAAAACTTTGGCCAAGAAATATGCATGAACCAGGCTTCATTAATTATTTGGTTGTGCCTTGTAAATGTCATATAGGGTTTGCAGTGAAATCTTCCATTGCTTTTTATTTATCTTGTTCATTCTTTTTGATTTCTTGTGTGGAATCTAGTCTGCCTCATCAGCGTTTACTGTAGAGTTTCTCTAGGACTTCATTGCAATTTTACTCATTTGTTTCTCATTGCAGCGCCTGTTTTGTGATTCTCTGAGCGTTTGGTCTCAGAATGTGCCCAGTATATCGCCATTGTCTTTCTCTTATAAGTGTTGATACCAGTGGTTGTGCATATATTTATCTTTTTTTACTTGGCCATGAATAAATTCACCATATTTAATATTAATCAGTTTTCTTGAGGGGCACCTGGCTGAATGGTTACAACATCCGGCTCTTATGCAAGAGAACCTGGTTTGACTCCCGGTAATTTGATATAGTTTTTCTGTTGTGGGAGCAAAATTATGCATCCTAACCTGAACAGTTAGTGGTGACAGCACAAGCCATACTAAATGCTGAGGCTCGAAACCCTTCTGTCTACACTGCCCTACCCGTGTGGGTTCTGGGGCCCTAATATAGGGAAAACAAGAATAGACCCACTGCCTACCCAAAAGCATGTTGTAAGAGTCTACTAATTGGGAGCTTCCTTCAAGGTCAGAGTGCATTTGCCAGAGAGGCAAGGAACCAGCAGTCTGCATGCCAATGAGTCAGATCTGTAAAACGGATGCGCATGCAACACTCAGGTTCTGGAACAGGACTGCAGTCCAGAAGTGGACGAACAACCAGAACTTGTCTGCCGGAGTTTACAGCCGGTGAACGCGAAGAAGAATACACTGCCCTAAGAAGCAATAGATAGAGAACAGAGTGACTGTTTACACTTTCCTCAAGCATTTGTTTTAGAACCCAAATAACCAGGATTCATTCACCTAATTTGCCGACATTGTTTTGTTGTTTCTTAGTTTGTTTACCTGCTGACTTCCTGAGAGTGACTGTGAGTTAAAAGAATTGATGGAGGAAATAAACAATATGATAAGTAAAATCTGTTAGCCACATTTAAGGAAATGACATTCTTATAAAAACTATACTGTAAAGAAGTACATAAGCTCCAGGCTGTAGGCAATTGGAAAAAGATCAGATGGAGGATGTAGGACAGAGATAAAGAAAAAAATTTGACAGGCAAAACTGCATTTTATAAAACAAAGAACATCTTATGCAAAAAAATCTTGTCATTTGAGGTTAGACAAAATATTCACAGACGGTGTAGAGAAACAGATTCAACTTTTGACTTTGAATTAACTATTAGTATTTAGTTTCAAATTCCTAAAATTCGTTAGACAGCCAAAAAAAAAAAAAAAGCAACCCAGATGTTTTGAAAGGGGCAAGGGTACGAAGGCCACCTACAACAAACATCAGATAGAGACAGTCATAATATTTTGGTCAAGTTATGACAGCGGTTCTCAACCAGCAGGTTGCAACCCTTTTTTGGGCCGAACTACCCTTTTTCTGAGTTGAACTCCCCTTCCACAGGGGTCGCCTAAGACCATCAGTAACAAAAATAATTGTATGTTTGTGGGTCATCACAACATGAGGAACTGTATTAAAGAGTCTCGGCGTTAGGAAGGTTGAGAACCCTTGTGTTATGAGAAGACGGAAACTGGAAAGATGCTGTGACCATTAGAAAGATCTGGGGAAATTATAGAGGAAAGCAATGTGAGAAGATTATTGACAGCCTTTTGTAATGGCATGGAGGTGGTCTCAGCAGAACTTCTTCTTCTTCTTCGCGTTCACCAGCTGTAAACTCTGGTGGAAAGTTCTGGTTGTTCGTCCACTTCTGGGCTGCAGTCCTGGTCCTGTGCTTGGTGTGTATCCGTTTGACAGGTCTGACACATTTGTGTGCAGACTGTTGGTTCCTTGCCTCTCAGGCAGATGCACTCCCAATTAGTCAACTCTTACGGCGCGCTTTGGGTAGGCAGTGGGTCTATTCTTATTTTCCCTTTAATAGGTCCCCTGAATCCACAGGGGGGTTAGCAGAACTGATACATGCTGTTGCGGATCACAGGTTGTGAGGAGGCGTGATCACTCAGGCCAGCTGGCAAAGCACTTGGTGATTATGATGATGGTTAGTAAGGCCTCTGAGATGGGGTTCAACCAAGAGTTCTCACAGTTCCTTGCACAGCCCTCATGAGTAATCCAGATCTTTCGAATGAAATGTTTAGGACCCAAAGACAACTTATTACAAACATCAGAGAGAGGTAGTCATCATTTTTAGTCCAGATTGTAAGAATCGCACAAACTGGAACAGGTTGTGACAACTAGAAAGATTAATGGGAAGAGAGACAGAGGAAGACAGTGTGGAAATATTCTTGACAGTTTTTTTTTTGTCCTTGTCAGCATAGGAACTGATAGATGTTGTTGAAGGATGCATGATTTGGAGAGATGCGATTGGTCATGTCACTTATCAGATCATTTCACCATGATCTCCGTATGGGTTCTCCTGCCCTCCGCCCCCCTCCACAAGCATGTTGTTAATGTTCACTAACTAGGGGCGTTTTTCTCGAAGTTGGAGTGCCTCTGCCTGAGAGGCAAGGAACTAACCTCTGCCTGAGAGGCAAGGAACTAACTTCTGCCTGAGAGGCAAGGAACTAACCTCTGCCCGAGAGGCAAGGAACTTACCTCTGCCTGAGAGGCAAGGAACTAACCTCTGCCTGAGAGGCAAGGAACTAACCTCTGCCTGAGAGGCAAGGAACTAACCTCTGCCTGAGAGGCAAGGAACTAATAGTGAACAAATAAATAAGCCAGATCTCTCAAATGGATATGCGTGCAAAACTAAAGTTCTGGAACAAAGCAGAAGTGGATGAAATGCCAGAACTTTCTGCCAGGGTTTATAGCCGGTGAACGCGACGAAGAAGAAGACGACAGTGACTATTAAGGAAACGTTAAAGGTAGATGAGCAAAAGGTAGGCAGTTGTACAAGTGGCTAGATAGCATGAGGTAATGGATGAAACGACTTGACGTGAGTTGCATGAGGGCCTGTGCTCCGTTGGGGGTTAGAAAGGCAGAAGAAAAAGAATAGATAAAACAAGTTTTTTTATCTTCACGTGCAACCGCAGTGTGGGACGTAGACTGTTCAGTGGCAGCCAACCAGTGTTGCCACTTTTCTTTGACAAAAAAAAAAAAAAAAACGCATCCAAAACGGAGTCAAAAAATATCAATAAACATCTAAATTTGCGTGGAAAAAATCTAGAAAAAAACATCCAAATGGAAAGATTCCTAAACTACATAGCAATTGATATGACTCACCCTATAGAATCATGTCCTCACCTTCACTGATGTCTGCCTCACAAGATCCACAGGATAAACTTAGCTTGGATGATGAAGTTGAAGCTTCAGATCCAAAATGACTCTGGTATGCTTTAGCAGTTCAAATTTCTTCTAATACCCAATCAGGGAGCTGATAAGTGGAACAGCCTTTTCCTACTCTTATCAGCTATAATTTTATTATCAAGATAGCATTTAAGAGGTCAAATTTCATCCTGTTTCTTAGGTTAGATTTGATAAATTTACTCCAAATGAAAAACATCTAGAAATACATCTACCATCTAAACGTCAAAAACGCCATCTTAATGCAAAGGAAAACATCTAAATATGGATGCAAAACATCAAAAGTGGCAACACTGCAGCCAACCTTGAACGTAGAGATATCACCTGATTGTTTGGTTGATAATATCCCTTTATACTGACAGCTGATGCGATGAATGAAAAAAAAAGAGACAAAGAAAAGCAAACAGCGGACAGTCGTGCCACGTAGCATCATCCGGACATTAGTAGATACGGTGCTTTATTGATATCCTACCCCAAACAGGGGAAATCCAAAGGTCACAGGACAGTCTAATATATCAGGGGGGTGGTAGATAGTCTGCATGCAGTCGTGGGACCTAAGCTGCACTCTCTCATGAGACGTAGGTGGGATGGGGCTCTGGCCAGTTCTAGATGTTTTGGGGTTCCCATCAGAAAGCGGGAAACCCAGTCTTACCACCCTCTAAAATGTTGGACTATCCTGTGACGTCATCTGGGGGTAGGATATTATTAAAGAACCGTAGATACTTAGTGTTAGAGAATAGTCACCTATCCGCCAAAGGCTGCGGGAATGAACCATAGAGATACAAATCAGGAATGAACCATAAAGATTCAAATCAGGAATGAACCATAGAGATACAAATCAGGAATGAACCACAGAGATACAAATCAGGAATGAACCATAGAGATACAAATCAGGAATGAACCACAGAGATACAAATCAGGAATGAACCATAGAGATACAAATCAGGAATGAACCACAGAGATACAAATCAGGAATGAACCATAGAGATACAAATCAGGAATTAAACACAGAGATACAAATCAGGAATGAACTATAGAGATACAAATCAGGAATGAACCATAGAAATACAAATCAGGAATGAACCATAGTGATAGAAATCAGGAATGAACCACAGAGATACAAATCAGGAATGAACCATAGAGATACAAATCAGGAATGAACCATAGAGATACAAATCAGGAACGAACCATAGAGATACAAATCAGGAATGAACCATAGAGATATAAATCAGGAATGAACCACAGTGAGACAAATTAGGAATGAACCATAGAGATACAAATCAGGAATGAACCACAGAGATACAAATCAGGAATGAACCACAGAGATACAAATCAGGAATGAACCACAGAGATACAAATCAGGAATGAACCATAGAGATACAAATCAGGAATGAACCACATAGATACAAATCAGGAATGAACTATAGAGATACAAATCAGGAATGAACCATAGAGATACAAATCAGGACTGAACTATAGAGATACAAATCAGGAATGAACCATAGAGATACAAATCAGGAATGAACCACAAAGATACAAATCAGGAATGAACCATAGAGATAGAAATCAGGAATGAACCACAGAGAGACAAATCAGGAATGAATCATAGAGATACAAATCAG